TGGCGGCGGCGTGCGTTTGTGTAATGTTTTCAATGCTGTGTAATATTCCATTGTGTCAGTGTACCATAGTTTTCCCTATCCATTTATTTGTTGATGGGCCTATTCTTCCTACTACACACCCAGGCTATATTTCCAAGATAGATTTATTTGTTCTTTAAGCAGTCCATATGGCTTTTTTTTAAATATAGTTACATTTATTTTTTTTAATCGTTATTAATTTTAATGAAAATTTACAGAGACTTTGGATTTCCATTCATTGTTGCACTTTTCTCCCTGCCCACCTCTTCACCCTCCACCCCACCCCACCCCAGTACACTCTTCTCTTTGAAAAGTAAGGGAAAAATTCTTTCATTGTTTTGTTTTTTGTTTTGATATTTAAATTTTATTATTTTTGTGTGTGTACCGTCAAATTGGATCTGACTGGTACAGGACGTGATTGTCCCTCCTTCTCCAGCAGAGCATCTGGTGGATTTGAACTGCGCATCTCTGGGATTGCAGTGCAGCTTCCTGCCACTCTTTCATTGTTTTACAATCCCTCCCCCGAGGTCCACTCCACTAAGCAGCCTTCGTTCTAGACTCCTGTCATGACAGTAATACCTAATCACATATCCCTTTTAAACCATTTTCTCCCTCATCTGTTTCAATGCGCAGTACACATTATTTATCCCATATTTCTCAGTCTCCCCACAACCCCGATGTCAGTCCTGTTTTACAACAGTGGCACTATGCAATATTTGACCTTTTGTGACTGAGATATTTCACTCAGCATAATGTCCTCCAGGGTCACCCATTTTGTATAATATTTACTGAGTTCCCTGTTTTTCAATGCAGCCTAGTATTCCATTGTGTGAATATATCACAGCTTCTCTACCCATTCGTTTGTTGATGGGCACTTAGGTTGTTTCCAGCTCCTTGCTATTGTGAACAAAGCCACGATAAACATGGGTGTGCACTTATATGGTCTCTTTGGGGTATATTCCAAGTAGTGAATTGCTGGGTCACATGATATCTCTATTTGCAAATTTTTGAGAAAGCGCCATACCGCTTTCCACAGGGATTGCACCATTGTACACTTCCACCAACAGTGAATAAGGGTTCTAGTTTCTCCACAACCTTGCCAGTATTTGTTGCTTGCTGTTCTGTTAAATTTTGCAATTCTTATTGGGGTGAGATGGTATCTCATAGTTGTTTTGACATATGGCTTTGCTGTGCTGATTTTTTACCTCAAATTATAATATTTTTATTAAGAGGACCTGTGATAAATCTTAGTATTGACAACTCTAGTTTAAATGTTAAAGTAAGGCTTCAACCAGAGTTGTTTTCTCCCTATCATATCATCCCTATTTCTTTAAATATTTAGGCATTTTCAATATGTAAGTCTACTTCTCTTTTAAGCTCAATTTGTTGCTTGCATCTTTTGAACCTGTAGTAATATTTGGCATAAAAAAAGAGAGTATCCTCACAGAATCACACTCTAGGAAAATGCCTATAGCTCTGTGTTGTTGCAGAGCTTATAGAATCTGTTTATGCTTCTTATTTACATCTACTTACATAATTCTAATAAAATCTTTTTTATGAATATATTTATACCTTTCCAACTTTTAAAAATAGCTGTGTATTTACAATTAGATCACTAGCAACGTAGCATAATCATTATGTGTTTATTAATTCATTAATAATTTATGTGATTATTTTTTGTTGTTATGTGCCATCAAGTCACCTGTGACTTATAGTGACCCTTTGTATGACTGCTCAGAAGCTGCCTTGTCCTGAGCCAGTCTCACTGACAACTACACACCTACCTCCATGGCCCTAGTTACTGTATCAGTCCATCTCATCTGGAATCTTCCTTTCCTGCATTGTCCCTCTACCCTTCCAAGCATGATAATCCTTTTCCAATACTGGTCCCTCATGACCACGTGCCCAAAGTATGTGAGATGGAGCTTCAAAATCCTGCCCTCCAAGAGAAACTTGGTTTCCTCCTCTCCAAGACAGACCTATTTATTTTCTTGGTGGTCTATGGTATTTTTTTATTATCTAGAAAAAAATTTTGTTTGTGTTTTTAATGAATCTACTAATAACTTTTAATATTAGAAGACTTATTTGGTAAAGCTTTTAATGATTATTTTAATAAATTCTCTCTCTAGCCACGCTTAAATTGCAGTAACTCATTTACTCAAACGGGGAGAAGACATCAAGAACCTGCCAGATATATTTCCTTTGGTGGTAATCTGATTACATTTTCACCTCTAAGACCCCTCAATGGAGAACAATCAGAAGAATTTTGAATTTAAAAGCAAGTGAAAAGTTTTTCTTCATGTTAATAATGCTGTTTATATAGTCTTAGAAATACGAAGGATCTGGAAACTATGGATTTGTCATCGCAACTATTCAATCTCTTTACATATTGTCATGTAATTTCTTAATATGTCATGTTTATCAGTGTTTTAGATAATATTGTTTCTCAATGGAAGTTGGAATATTTTGTTTATTAACTACACAGAATGTATAAGCCTAAAGCTCAGTGTTATGGAACATTCTTTCATTAAGGCTGAATAGGTTTTGTACATTTTATCTTCCAATGTGTATTGAAGTCCTTTAATTGAACTTTCTGTATTCTGAAGTCATTTTATATGCTGCGGTTAAAAGTGATTAAATTACTAGAAATGGTCATTAAATTCTTGCATTTTTCTGGTTGTTTTTTCAAGCAGTTTTATGTTTCCATGAGTATTGCTCACATAGCACAGAGTTCGTATATGTCCTTTGCCCTTGCTCACAGTTTCATCTGGTCCTTTAATAGCCCATTAATGAATAACTCAAGCAGTCCGTGCTGCCCAGAAACATAAAGGTGGCTGTGTACCATTGAGTTGAAACTGACCCTTAGCTGACCCTCCAGTCGGTTTTCAGAGGCAGTAAATCACATGGGAGGAGCCAGCCCAGCTCTCTCCATGGAGCAGCTGGTGAATTCAAGCTGCATAACTTTGCACTGGCAGTGCACTTCCTTATCATTAAGCCACCAGAAGTCCCTTTGGGTTTGCAGTACAACTCCTTACCACTGTTACAGCTCCTCACCAGAATTCTCTGATCTGTCCATAGCAATATATAATCATTTAGAAAGCTTCTGACTGTAAATAATAAGGAAAATGCACTCAGACTAGGTTAACAATTGAAGAAATGGTTTTCTAAATCCTGTTATTCCAGGAGCTTTATAGTTCACAGCTCAGTGATAACAAGGTTTAATCTTCTATACCATTCATTCTGCCAGCCTTGGTGTTGGCTTCTCTTTAAGTGTGGGTTTTTGTGTGATCATATGACTATGAATAACAATTAGAGGTACATCCTGCTACATCAGTCTACCTGCATCAACTAATGCCACATTCCCACCTGCCACTTCAAGAAAAGTCAGGTCCGCAGGGAAATTCCATGCATTAGTTGGCTTAAACTAATCAGGATTCTCTTGGATCAGAGATCATACCTGAATAAAACCGTAACTGTTGAGAAAGGGAAAATTAATAATATTAAATAATGTTAATATTGATATTATTATTAATATTACTACTACTACTACTAATAATAATATCCATGTTCCCTAATGGCTAAATAGTGTTTTGGGACTACTGGACTCTAGATTTGGAAGAAAAGGAACTTCTATTTAAGCCCTACTATAGAGTGGGCTCTTTGCAAACAATATTTCAGTTCACAGATAACCTTCAAGAGATGTAGTCACACTACTCATTTGATAGACCAACCAAGGCTCAGAGTATATGAGTAGTTTTATGCAAAGTCAAAGAACTAGAAAATAGACTGGAACATAAGCCAAGTTCTTGCTCATCTCCAAAGCTTTTGCTTTTCCATTTGGTCACTGGAATAAAAAACTAAAAGACGAGAGTGTTAAGAGTAAGGAGGTTGCGTATTTTTAAAATATGTTATGATGGGCTGTATGTAACCTTCTACTACTAGAAGACTTATTCCTTAAGCTGCTGTCATCCTATAATGAGCCTGCCTTAGCTAAGAGAACAGTTGCACTCAACATTACGTACACCTAGTTCTCCAGGGAAAGTTTACTCAGTGACTAATTGAAGTAGTTACTACAAAGACTAATACCATCTAGGGACAATTCTGAGGGATCATCCTAGCTTCATTGCTGTAGGGTAGGCTATGGCATCACTTCCCAACTTCTCCCTCAGCACAATTCTGTATTTTCTCTATAGGTATTGCTTGTAAGAGTGCACACATGCGCATACACACACACACACACACACCCACACCCCTGAGACCTCTTTGCTTCCTGAAAAACCTGAAAAATAGACAATTATCAATTTAAAGTATTTGAGAAAATGGTATTTTAGAAACAATAGTATAAACAAGTAATACCTTGGTCTTCTATATAAAGAAGTGGTGTGACTAAATCCTAGTTCTGAAATTTTAAAAATCTTTGGGCTTGCTAGTCAAAAAGGAAGAACAGAAAGGTGTGGCAAGAAGTTTAATGGAATAATTACATTTAATGCCTTTGAGTTGTATTGATGGAGAATACTTATCTACCATGGACTGCTAGGGGAGCCAACAGGTTTGTCCTGGAGAGGGTGAGACCGGGGCAGCTCCTGGGAGGCAAGGATTCTGAAGCTCTGTCTGATATACCTTGGGCATGTTGCAAGGAGTGACCGACAAGTCCTTAGAGAGGGACATCGTGCTTGGGAGGGTGTAGGGACAATGCAAGAGAGAAGACCCTCAATGAGATGATTAACACCGACTCGGGAAAAGGGGGTAGGTGTGTCAAAGACAGTGAAGTTGGCTCAAGATAGAACAGGTTTCATTGCTGTTTATGTAGGGTTGCTGTGAGTCTCAGGTGACTTGACAGCACTTAACAAGAAGCTGGCTATGGTATAAAGAAACTGCTTGGGTTTTCTCTGTACCAAGAGGTTTCATAAAAATCAAGAGAACTTACAAGAGAGTCTCATTGATATCAAATACTGATTTGAAAGAAATGAACTATAGTTTGGGGAAAAAATAGAACTAAAAACTGTCAGAAGAATATATATTAAAATGCCTTTGGTGCCTCCCAGCCACATGCCCATAGTATGTCAGACAGAGCTTCAAAATCCTTACCTCCAAGAAGAAACTTGGTTTCATCCTCTCCAGGACAAGCCTTTGGAAGCAGGAGTGGCATCCACTTCCTTAAACAACATGCCTCTGGAAACTCTATGAACTTTGAGAAAAAATAGTTACGGAAAGTCTTTAGGTCTTTTGTTGATAGGGTTGCTATGAGTCGTGCTCAACTCGACGGCAATCAACAACAACATACACTAATTATCTTTTGTGGTCACAGGCCATGTATGAATTAAGCTTTTCTACTTATTTTCTGATAAAACATTCCTTCACAAAAGAAAGAAAAATCTCTAGGAGGGAGGGTTGGGAGGTCAGAAAAGTGCAACAATGAATGAATGGAAACCCAGAGTCTCTGTAAATTTTCACTGAAATTAATAATAAATTTTAAAAAAGGAAAAAAAATCTCTATAGCATCTTCAGATTTTTCTAAAACTCTAGAATAAAAGATAAAGTAGATATGGTATTTATCTGTAACCATTTCTTTTATAAAAAATTTTTAGCAAGTATAGAAAATTTAGGAAGCCCTCTTTCAGCATATTATTATGTTTTATGTATATTATTGCTACATATTTTTTCAGTGAGTTCACTGCATTATCTGCACTAAACTTTCATTAAATGACACACAGATAACTCTTAGAATAAGAGGATTTATTAAATGATTTACAAGGATACTGATGGATAAAATATTTCACTCATAGTGAACATGAAGCTTTTACATGTGTATGGTTTATATTCATTTTCTTTTTTTAAAAAAAAAGTATCTGCCCCCTTGGAATTATATCATAGCATGTGTAGCACTGGTGAGGTCTATATCACCAGAAATTCCCAGTTTATTGATTTCATTAAGATTTTTCATCCGGTGATTGTACTGCAGCAAATGAGCATCATTGACTGCAACCTTGAAGTGGTCAGCCTCAGCCAGTACTTGTATCTGCAATGATAAATACACAGAAGTGTTAGAAATGCACACACATTTCAAGGGTGGTCAGCCTGAGCTCCAGACAGGCCACATTTCATCTTTATAAGTATTTATGGAGCCAAGTCAAGCCTGGATAAAAGTATTTACCCTCTAAAAAAAGAAGCTCTAAATTAATCAAAGATTTAAATAAGTAAAATTATTCAGTCTTTACATAGGTGAAGCCATAAAGAAAAAGATTAATAATTTACCTACATAAAAACTTAGTTTTGCTTTTTTTTTTTTTTCTATTTTGTCATTATCTTTTGTGTGTGTACCATCAAATCAGATCTCACTGGTACTGGAGATTACCCCTCCTACAGCAGAGCATCTAAGTGGATCCGAACCACACACCTCTGGGATTGCAGTACAGCTTCTTGCCACTAGGCCACCAGAACTCCCATAGTTTTGCTTTTTTTACCAGCCCCGCCCCATGCCCCACAAATGGCACTGAATTGTAGAAATGCGGATTGGTGTATGTTTTGTTGTGTATATCCTTAACAATAACAAAAATAAATAGTTCTTTTAAAACTTTAATTATCATTATTTTTATCGTAGGAGTATGCAATGAGGGTTGCAGAGTGGATTATATTTGGGGGTAGGGGGTGGGGTTTGGGGAGGTGCGTGGCAGATTGTGTACCAATGAGGGAGTTTTTCTTTTGCTTTTCAAGGAGAGGAGTAAAAGGGGGGGGGGTTGTGCGGGGAGAAGGGTGCAACAATGAATGAATGGAATTCCAAAATATCTGTAGATGTTCATTGAAATGAAAAATAACCTAAATTAAAAAAAAACAAAAACCTTAATTATCTTATGGTCTGAAACACTGAAATGTAAAAATAAACTTTAGGATGTAGTAATCCCCCAGCAGAATGTCAAATGCTCCAATGATTGTTAACATCCAGTTTTGGCAAGAGAAAAACATATTCTTCTAATAGATGTCTTAGTCCTGACAACCTTGAAAGGATTTGCCTACATCTTTACTGTTAATGGTCTTTGAATGAAATCATTCTAGGAAGTAGAGATTTAGAACTAAAGATAGTTATTGCCATTTTGTTGGTTTGGGGTGGGTTTGGGTTTGGTTTTGTTTTTTCATTTTCTATTTTCACACTCCGAGGGCTTGGAAATGATAGTGTGCTCTTGAATGGAGTTAAGAAGTGTGTCATTCTGGCCATGTTCTGCAGCCTGCTGAGACTAGTCCTCTGGGATGGGGATGAGATGTACTGGGAAGAACCCCAGGGCAGGTGATCACACTTATTTTAAATGCATTTTCATTTTAGACTGATTCTCCACAAGAAATACACAATATCAGTAGGTAATAGTAGAAAGAACTTACTTTGAATGGTTTGCCGCTTTCAAACGGGAAAACACTCTGTCTTTCTTCCTTTCCCCAGACGTTATCCTGCTTTGTATTGCAAACAATGACTCTCTTGTTGTCCTCATTGAAGCGTGGGTTAAAGTGGAAGGCAACATCATTCCCTCTCTTGAAATCTAAAGCAATTCTATTTTAAACCAAAGAGCAGAATTATTAAAATGATTAAAATTGTGCAACATTCACATCAAGTGAAGAACCCAGTTTTCTAAAAAGAATGTTTTCTGAACAGAAAACAAGCCAGAGAATAGTTTCAAACTAGAGAGAATCCCAGGCTATATACTCCAATTATTACCCTAATAATAGAAGTAAGGCAATACGTGATGACATTTTTTTTCATATGTGATGACTTTTCTTGCCTTTTGTCACATCCTTCCCATTCAATTCTTTTGACTAATTAATACTATTTACCACCTCTACTCATGAGCCCCTCTGAGGACTTTTATGCCATATATTGTAGATCGTAAGATTTAGCTCTTCCTTCCCCTGTCAGGTTGCTTTTAATACTTGTTATAGGCAAGATGGCTACAGACTCATTGTTATCCAGAAATCAAAGTCTTAGAAAACAGCAAGAATTGGTCATGTAGTTAATGTTCAGTATCCCAACATGAAAGTGTAATGTAATAGCAATAAATGCTGTTCTATTAGGGATTTTTTTTTCTTTTCTCTTTTCAAAAAGACTTAAACTCCAAGACCTTAGAAATGATAGCTTGGATGATGGCTTGAAATGATGGCCTGGATGGAGTTGAAAGTTAAGTGGAATTAATGAAAGTGGTGGCCATATTTTAAAGCAATGTCTGAGCTCTCCTAACAATGATTTCTGAAGTCTTGTGAATGACTAAGTACAGGCATATTCTACCCCAAATGTGTCTCCCAGTAATTAACTCACATAAAAAGATAACAGGATATGTACTTGATTAAATATCTAATAGCTGTATTTTCTCTCCAGTTAAAATTCAGACATAGTCATCTCTCTCACCTTAGCCATTTCCTTTTCATGAAGTTGCACACAGAATTTACAGGAACAAGCAACAGCCTTTTCCATTTACTACCGCTGTAACTGTCTCAACTGAGGTGACTTTAGATCTGCCAGTCTCAGTCTACATCTCCAGTGTTACTGGAACTCAAGTTCCCAGTGCAATAGCCCTAAGTAATGCAGAGACACTAGTGTGGTTCTGTATGTGTCAGGATGGTGGGAGGAGAATAGGCATTGACAAATAAGTGCAGCATATACAAGATACAGTATGCTGGGGTTTGTGCTGTGTTAGAAGGAAAGGTCAAAAGACAGGCACACTATGCATGACAGACACAGTATGAGCTGCATGGAAAAGGTCTGGCTTAAGATAGTGACTAACCACACAAAACCAGAGGAGGCTTTTGGGAAGTGTAGCAAATGGATATAAGACTATCAGATCAAAATCTGAGTTCTCAGAGGTGGTGGGAGATGGTTTTCTGTTAATCCACCAGGAACAAGATAACAGACACCCTGGCCCTTTAAGGATTCTTGAGTAAACCTGTGTAAATGGTTGACACTGCACCTTTACTTACAGACTTGGAAGAATTCATCGCTGCAAGAGCTTTAGCAATTCTACTGTGTGCTCATCATGTTAGGGATAACACACTGGATGGGTTCAAGGCATCCTTGCCAGTTAAACCAACTGCCACTGAGTCACTTTGACTTATGATGACCCAGTGTTGACCATAAGGATTTCAGTGGCTGATTTTTCAGAATTAGATAGCTAGGTCTTCCTTCTAAGACATCTCTGAGTAGAATTCTACATAGCAATCAAATACATTAACCATTTGCATCACCTGAGGACTCCTCTTCTTTGTTATGTGCCGTTGAGTATGTACAGCAGCTCTGAACGCTGCCCTGTCCTGAGCCAATCACTAATTCTAACACATCTACCCCCTTTACCCCAGTTACTGTATCAATCCATCTCATCCGGGGTCTTTCTAACCTGCACTGTCCCTCCCCGCTTCCAAGCATGATGTGCTTCTCGAAGGGCCTGTCCCTCGTGGCCGCATGCCCAAAGTATGTGAAACAGTGCTGCAAAATCCTAGCCTCCAAGGAGAAACTTAGTTTCTCCCTCTCCAAGACAGACTTATTTGTTATCTTGGTGGTCCATGGTGTGTCCAATTTGAAGGCATTGATGCTTCTTCTGTCATCCTTTGTCATCATTGTCCAGCTCTCTGAATGCAGCTTCTTAAAATCTTGGCTATGTAACACCTCTTGGGCAAATTATAGCACTGCTTTATTGGGAGGCCAGAGCTCATGGGAATAAAATGCCACACCCTGACCTGCCTCAAGAGCTGACAAAAAGAAAGTAGCATCTATCATTTATTTATTCCTTTTTACTCCACTCTTCTTCACTACCACGTCCTTTTGCAATAAGCTTATTATTATTCAAAGGGAGATGATGGTATCCCTGTGAATCTGTGGCTCTGCTGCCTCGCCCAGTGTGAAGAGAGAGAAAGCAGTAGAGACTGGGATCTGAGACTTGCCCAAAGGGGGGAGATTTTTATCAGAATAGACTGATAGAACAGTCAAGTTCTGAGATCAACTCCGAAGAAGAACCAATGGTATCTTTCTATTTCGCCCTAACTGTGATGAGCATCTGGATACGGAACACATGTTTGATCTTCAGATATGGCTCAGAGGCAGAGAGATAGGAAAACTGCATTGCAAAAGCTCAAACTTCTGCTTTATTAAGGCTTTGACCTCCTAGGAATGACCAGCAGAGTGTGTGTTCCTGGTTTTTCTCTTTGTCCTCACAAAGTAGAACTCTGCCAACAACTATCAATTTTTGAGATAATCCCATTCTATGATACAGCCAATATTCTAAATATGCAATTCCAAAAATCTATTAAAATTCAAATTACATTATTCTTTACTCAAAACCCAATTAAGAGATGTGTAGTTAATTTTGCCCTTTACCTGTTTGCATTGGGTTTTACTGTGCCCAGAATTGTTATCAGCATGCGAGGCATGACTCCTCCTGGGAAAGGCAGGTCATAAGGTACAGTCTGGAAATGCAAAATATATGTATCAATAAAGACTCTTGCTTTCTTGGGGGAAATAAAAAGAAAAGCTGGTTTTCAATCATTAATAACCTGTAAATAATGTATAATCCTAATTTGAGCCATTTGTTCAGGTTCTCTTTCCAGGACCTGAAAAGGTAAAATTATCTCTGAGCAGATGTTGTTGTTATGTGCCGGTGAGTCACCTGTGACTCACAAAGACCCTATTTTCGACAACCCTGAACCTTGCTCTATCCTGTGCCAACCTTACTGTCTCTCATACACCTATCCCAATTACCACAGTCACTGAATCAATCTATCTCACTGAGGGTCTTCCTCTCTTGCACTGTCCCTCCATCCTCCTAAGCATGATGTTCCTCTCCAAGAACTGATCCTGCCTTGCAAAATGTCCAGAGTATGTCAGATGAAGCTTCAGAATCCTTGCCTCCAAGGAGCAGCCTGGTTTCACCCTCTGCAGGACAAACTTGTTTATTCTCCTAGCAGTCTATGGTAAATTCTATACTGAGAATAAACCTTTAATTAATTAACTGATGGCAAAAGCAAAAAATATTCCCATTGTGAGTGCTGTAATTATTATCCATTCCAGTTATTATTACCAGTCTAACTGATAATTCCAACATAAATTATTCACTTAAGACTATTTAAAAAAAAAAAGACTTGAACTAGATATTGCAATCAAAGTGCATGTTTGTGCCACTCTTAAGATCCTTGTAACCTATTTCACTGTGGTTATTTCTAAACATCCAGGCCCATCTGTGAGGCACTGAGTCACACTCTGGGATATCTGGATTTCCATGACTTGTGAATCCTCTGTATTAACATGAAACTAACACCAGTGCTTCATGTACAGCAAGTACCCAATGACTACTATGGAATAAACACTCTTCAATCTATCCGTTAACTCTAGTGACCTAGTGCCGTTAACTCTGGTGACCTAGTGGGTAATTGTGCTATCAACTCAAAGGCAGGTAGTTCAAATCCATCAGCTGTTCCATAAAAGAAAGATGGACAATCTTCCATGAAATTTATAGCCTCTGAAAACCTGATGTAGGGTCAGTTTATAAATCTGTTCCAAACTGACAACACTGAACAACATTCAATACATTGTCTAGTTCACTCCACAGATATTTTTAACACCTTTTTCTAGGTACCATGAATATTCCCAAATTTTATCTCTTCGTGTTATGTTCTTCCCCCAACCTTAACCCCTATGAATTTATTTTCATTCTCAAGCGTTCAACTATCACCCCAATTTATCTCTTAGCCGAGTATTTCATTTCAACAGTCTGACTACCTCTTTTTATCCAGATTTCTGTCAGTACCTTAAATCCAACAGGTGTGAACTGGAATTATCGACCCTGCTCCCCTCATCATCAGTCCCCATTCCTGAGTTCTCAGTTTAGGCTAATGTTTTTTCATGTTCTAGTGGCCCAGCCTGGAATAGTCGGTATCACCTCTGACCCTTAGGACTTGATCACCAGGTCCTGAGCAGGAGGAAGGAATTCTTCCTCACAATTTTCCTCAAAGCACCCTCTTCCTCTTCAAAACCACCACAACTGTTTACAACTAATTTACCCATCTCTAGCGTAAGGCGCATCTCAATCATCCTGTCACTCACCCTGTGCTTCCTCTGGGCTCACCTCTAAGCGAGCTGCATAAGAGATCAAACAGTAACTTGTGGTGTCTTCTACACAGTGCTTCATGGTCTAACCTCATACAGTGAGCTAACTTTCCCATCTTCTTGCTGGACTAGACTAAATCTGGAAGGCAAGGTCTGTGTTTGAGATAGGTCTGGATTCCTCACAAAGATAATTTTACACTTAGAAGTCATTTTTATTCAATCCTTCAATTACAAAAACGTTTTCAAAACCAGATTACTTCTATATCTCCTCTCAAAGACGCTGGGTACATTATCTAACTTCTCATGTGTGAAATGGAGAGGGTGGCTGCAGAGTTAAATGAGGTAATCCATGTACATGCACACTCTGGTGTGCATTGAGTACTCAGTCTTTATAAAAATATTAACCATTAAAGCTGCCTTTCAGATTCCTTCAAAAGACCCATTAGCCTCTTTACACTAATTGACTCACTGCCATCAAGTTGGAACCAATTCATAACTGGCCCTCCAGAGGACTTCTGAGAGGCTGTACATTTCAGGGGAGGAAAGTCCCCTTCTCCAAGAAAGAAATGGGATTTGAACTGCCATTGGGGCACCATCTTTGGGTTAACAGTGCAACTTCTCATGCACCCTATCACAGTGCACATCAGTTCAATATGAGCAGTCATCTTTCTACTGGACCAACACACGTACTGTGGTGGCTTAGTGGTAGGGAGTTACACTGCCAACCCAAAAGTACTACGTTAAAATCCCTCAGCTGATCCATCGGAGAAAGACGGGCAATCTCCTCTCATGCAATTTATTGCCTCTGAAAACCCACTGGAGTGTCAGCTATGAGTCCATTCTGACTCAATGGCACACAACAACAATAGCAACAATCCTTGAAAACTGACAGCTCCAGTGTCCCAGACAATAGGTATTCTTCATGAGCTTTGTGCTGATCATAGTTAAGTACATGAAATAACAAACTCCATCTCACCAGTGGTCCTGCCGGGGTACCAAAGGGACCGGCAGCAGGGTAGGCCCCGGGAGCACTTGGCTGTCCAGGTGGGTAAGTCCCAGGTCCACTTGGTTGCCCTGGGTAGGCTCCAGGTGCGGTTGGGCCAGGATAAGCTCCAGGTGCGGTTGGGCCAGGGTAGGCAGCCCCTGGAGGTGCCTGGCCAGGGTAGGTGCCAGGAGGAGCCTGACCAGGATAAGCCCCAGGAGGTGCCTGGCCAGGATAAGCCCCAGGAGGTGCCTGGCCAGGATAAGTTGCAGGAGGTGCCTGCCCAGGGTAGGTCCCAGGATAAGCAGCTCCTGGGTAACCTCCTGGCCCTGCAGGCTGGTTCCCCCATGCAGCAGGCCATCCTTGAGGGTTAGGGTTTCCAGACCCAGACACGGCATCATTAAGCTAGAAAAGAAGAAATAAGATAGAAAACATTCACAAGACAGAATTACAGTGAAAACTGGAAAATGTGATCCATGAAGAACAGGGATAGAAGGAGGAAACGCATATCCACAAGTAATTGTTAACTATATAATAAATTTGACTCCAGAATTAAACTGTGGAATACGATATACTGTTGCCTGCCATCATCTTGGCCATGGAGGGCTGCATTTTTGTGATTTGCTCAAGTCAGGAACTATTTGTCCTCTATCTAAAAGCATCTCAACATGAGAAAAACAACTGCAAAAACCAGTTTGCTTAGTTCTGCTGCACTTCACTTTGCCTCCGTATTTCTCAGTTCTAGCCGGTGGAATCCGCCCTCCTTTGCCTCAAGCCTTTCCCATAAAAGGCACCTGTTCATGAGTCACCGGCGTGGCTTTCTTCCCAAACCTGATATTGAGAAAACAGGGCTCCAGCTCACAAACCCTCCTAACACAGTGAGTCCGGAGAAGGGGCTGTTGGGGGACAGCAGAGGCTGAAAAATTTGGTGGCGGAAGCAAAAGCCTCAACCGTCTCAAAATGTCTATTAGGGCAATAAGACAGAAAGAAAACACTTACCGAAAAACTGTCTGCCATTTTCCTGAAAGGCAAGTCTGGGGGGGTGGGGAAGAGAAAAAGATTATAATTTGATACTATAAGTTTTCATTAATTTCCATTCAAGTTACAAGATCGTTCTCTGCCCTTGTTGATCTGTGGGGATTCTTCTACTCAGAAACCCCTTTATTCCCAAGAGTTTACATAAATCAAGCATGTCAAACCATAAAAAAGGCCTCACCAAGGTGGGGCTCTTCTCCAGCTAGATGACTCAATCCTGTTTTAACTCTTAACTTTCACTGAATTCTAATCGCATTAGCCTGTGTTCTGAATGGTGGGCATTAGAGGCCAGATGATGCAGGACGGAGAACAAAGAAAAAGTCATGGCTTGTTTGGGGTCCTCTGTCACCTCCCTCTTGCTCTCTTCCTCCACTACCCTTACAAAGTGTATTCTACCACCCACATTCCCTTCCACTATGGCTTCACGCCTTCTTCCGGTTTTTAGGAGGAAAGTTGTGGTGACCAACATAGAAAGACAAGGTCTACCAGACATTGTGATTGTGTGTTGGCTTGTCCATCTGCACACATTTAGGCCTGCTCTGGGTCAGGCACTGTGTGGGCTCCAGTCCTAGCCATGAGGATGAGTAGCCAACATGAATATGGCCAGAGGATTCAGTCCGGCAGGGGAGATGAGAGTCATCAAAATGCAAACGAGAAAACAATGGATGCTGTGAGACAGGCAGTGACTCATAAAACTGGAAAGGTTCCTTCTAAGGGGGAAGGGTGCACCTTCACTGAAATGCCATTAAGCTAAGCTTTGATGGAGAGAGGTTTGGAAGTGGACCAATGAAGAAGGCAAGGATCTGAGGCGTGCTGCTTTTTGAAAAACATGCTTGGATGGGAGAGGAAGATATGCTTGATGTTCCAAATGAAGTCTGGCAATATTAATATTTAACTAAATAAAGTGAAATGAATCAGCAGTGTGGCGGAAAATACGTTTGGGTGGGGCACTCCCCAAATGAGTAGGTTTGAGTTGCCCAGAGCTGCCTCAGGGGCTCACCATATGACGTCATTCCTGCCTTCTCCTGTTTCTTCCCCTCTGCCAAATCCCCAAGTGCACAAGATATTTTCCACCAAAAAAAAAAAAAAAATTAAAAAAAAAAATAAATATTTCCCACCTGCTTGGGGCTTTGGCTGAGGCCTTGGTGATTTAGTGCATAACACATCTAACACATCGGGCTGCTGGCAGCTAGTGGAGGAGGCAGCACTGAGGATATGCTTTCTAATCTCATGATTGCTTTGCTCTGGCCAAAATCACTCATAATCAAAATCATCAGAATTCCTTTTTCCTTGATTTGCTACTTCGGATACTTATGCAATCACTTTAAGAAATAGCTTTGTCCCCAGGGGATCCAAAGAATGGTGTTGTCTTGGGAAGTCCAAAAAAAAAATGTTAAAAATTACATTTCTTTATAAAATCTCAAACCAGTAGACTTCCTCCTGGAACATACACCAGAGATTTTTCTGTTACCCGTTATTACTTGGGTTTTGGATACATCACTAACCTGGGCCTAGCAAACCTACTTTGAAGTACCTGGGCTGTCATCACAGCCATCTTATAAGATTTTATATTATAAGGAAATCACAGAGTCTGCCTCTAAGAGCTCACTCCACATTGCATCCACCATATCTCTTAGAAAGTTGCTTAATGAATAAAGCAAAAATCAGGGGTTTCTATACTTATGTTTCCTTCCCCCAAAAGGTTACCACTTCCCTAGAATAATAGTGTATTGTGACTTTAGGAAGAACTTTAAAGAAGAGTTGGCTTTGAAAAAGCCATATGGGAGAGTAAACTAAAGCCTTTTTCATTCTAGATACTACTAGAAAACCATATTGAATGTCAAGATGGGCAGGAAATTTTGTTTCTTGGGTGGTAGGAAGTCTTCTTCCATCCCTGGTTAACATACTGTGATAGACTGAATTATGTCCCCTCACATTATGTATTGTAAATTCTAAGTCTCTATGGTAAATCCCAATTGGGAAAGGGTTGTCTTTGTCGTGTTAATAAGAGAGGATCCATTGCCTTGGAACTGACTCACAGTGGTTTTCTGACTCACAGTGGAACTGACTCAACACTGGTTTTCTGAAGCTGTAAATTGCATAAAAGGAGACTGTCCATCTTTCTCCTGTGGAGCTGCTAGTGGATTCAAACTGTCAGAGAGATGCTGCCTTCGGGTTAGCAGTGCAACTCTCTATGGATAACACCACCAGAGTTCCCTTAGAAACAGGGTTAGTGTGCACCAGACTATGTAAGAAGTTAAACAAGCAAGCAAAGATGGGGAAGGCTGATGCTGATGCCAAGCTACAGAGAGATCTCCAAGGAATCACGAAATGGGCTGATGAGTCAAGATCTTCCCTCTACAGTAGACAGAAAGAAAGCCTTCTCCTCCTTTAAGCTGGTGCCTTGGACTTGGTTTTCTAGCTTCCTAAACCCTGAAAATAAATTTGTGGTATCTCTGTTGTAGGAGTACTTAGATAGCTAAAATACACACCAAACGGCCAGCAATAACTTTATAAGGATTTGACTTCATTTTAATTCTTCATGAATTTCCTAAGGGCTTATTCCCAACCTCAAAACCAGTGGCATTTCAGGATGTTTGGGCGCATCCCTGGCTTTAACAAGATGTTACTAGGCCCCTCTAACCACTTGTGATATAGAAACTTCTCCAGGCAGTGCCAAATATTCCTGTGGGCTACACCAGACTCAGGTGAGAACACATGGTCGAGATTGATTAGCATGTGTAAATTAATTAATATTAATAATTATATTAAGATAGATAGAAAGATAGATAGATAGATACCACTAACAAAACGGTAGTTTCAATTGTTAAAACTAGTTAAATTTGTATGTTGGGCCTCCAAAAATGTGACTTGAAGAGCAATCAAACCAAAATGTATTCAAAAGCTAATTCAATCAGAAACTCAGTCAAAAGGGGCAGTTACAAAATTTAACTATCATTCTTTTCAAAATCTTTGCTAAAGCATCATCACTTTATTTTTCAACCAAGCAAAACGCAGTTTGAGAAACAAAGCAGATTTCACTTTTTTCCCATTCTGTTGCCCATGTTTTGACATGTGCCTTGGATGACAGTTTGCACTGCATTGTGACACAGTAGATAAGCTCATTAGAATAATAACACCCTGCATTTGTGTGGTACTTTTCCATTTACAAGGCACTTTCACATACCTTAACTATTTGATTTTCCTAATAATCTTATTGTGATTGACAAGGGAAAATTAATATTTTCTAGTCACAATTAATTCTCCAGCAGGTTTTCTGAGACTGTAAAATACACCTGGGGAGACTGCCCATCTTTCTCCCAAGGGACAGTCAGAGAGGGTGAGCCGTGCAACACCCTACAGACTAAACCACCACAGCTTCCTTATTCCCATTTTAGAGGTGAAAAAATTAAGGCTCAGAGAGTTTATTGGTTGGCAAATCACACTGGCAAGCCACAGGCAGGCCAATGACCACAACCCAAATCTCCTGATTCCTAGTTCCAACTTTCCTACACAACTATAATCTCACATTTTGAGGTTTAAAAGTATAGTCTGTCAAAAGCATTAATCGTTTACTTTAAAAAATTTTTCTGTCTTATTTATACAGAACTATGCAACATGCTAAAACTAAACAAATTAAAATAAGACTATTTTTGTCAGAAAACTGACTCATTCACTGATGTTGAATACCAGGATGCCATTTTGCTCAGTCATTTTGCTAATTACAACCATATTTTAACCAATAAAGTGTACTTTTCCAAAAGCTGAGTGCACACTGTTTTTGACTGTGTCTACTTCCAAACAGCAGATCCTTTTTTGAAAAGGGTTCTTATACCTATTGCTTTTCTTTCTTTTTAAGTCAAGCTGGGCAACCTCAAAACTTATCTTTTTTTAAAAAAACGTCTTTCTTTTCAGATGTCTAGTTTCTGAAAAGGGAAACAATCAAATGTGATCGGCTTACTCCAGAGATAGGCAAATTCCAGCCTGGAATCAGATTTGGAGAGAGAAAAGGTGGGAGGGAGATGGGGGAGAGAGGAGGGGAGGGGAGGGGGTTGGGAGGAGAAGAGGGAGGGAGGGAGAGCGAGAGAAATACTACTTGGTCTCCACTTTGGGGAAAACTACACATTATCCTTTAATGTAGCTCTAGAATGAAGAATTTAAACATGAGTCAGAATGTAGACCATGTTAATTGGCTGTTAATTGGCAGCTTTTCCTTTTAATAATTAGTATCTATCTACTGCCTACACCCACCTAGCAATTAATGCAGGTCTGCCTGGGTTCCCAGGAACATTTGTGAAACTTCTGCTCAGTTTCAGAGCAGATCTTTCACAGGTGGCTGTTAATGCAAGAAGGCTATGAACCTGTTTCCTCAGGGCACTGTATCATCTGGGAACAAGAAGAGAAAAGAGGCAGTCTACTTCTTCCTCTTTGCTGACACTAACAGTCTGGCTTGGGGAAAGTCTACTTTCCAAAGCTGAAGTCAGAGAAGCTAGAGAGGGCTAAGAAACCAATCCTTTCCTAGAATTTCTTCCTCTTAGCAGTTCATCAGCATCAAAGGAAGTATAGTTATTTTATGCTTCTCAGTTACGGAATTTCCCCTCCCCCGCCCCCAATGGAAAAGCTAAACAGCAATTAAGAGTGAGCACATGACAAACTGGAAGTTATGTACAGCAAGCACCATTCTGGCAAGCTCTTCCACCAACCACTTGAAGTTAATAAGAACAGGTTCAGACAACAGGCACAAAGAGTTGCCCAGCTGCTCTCCACAAAAAACTGTCTCTACTCATTTAGGAGGGAAATGTTGTGCTTTGGATCTGTTCCTGTCTCAGTCCACAGTTTCCTAGCCTACTGATACAAAGGCCAAGAGAAGATTGTCAAGTTCTAGTGTATGTGTCTGACTAATGGGAGTTCTAGGTAAACAGAAATCTAAATTCAAGACCAGCATGGGTTTCTTCATTAACAATAGATCCAAAGTTTTTGTG